TTATCGATAAGAATCACATAGTCTATAACATCATCTAGAAGAGCAGGCAATTTCCTGGATGCTATTTCATCCAGTATATAAGCGGCCAGACCCTCCTGAAAGGCTGTTACGAGGGCGTCATTATTCCAAACCACTTCAGCTGCTAGAGTACGGAATTCGATAGTGTAATCTGCTACAGATCTGTTACCCTGTCGGACCCTAAGCAGAGCCTTGCCAGCAGAAGCAACCCTACCGGGTTGATCAAACGTGCGTCTGATACTGTTAGAAAATCTGCAAATGACATAGGAGACGTATTTTTCCAAATGGGGTTGGCCCATGCTAAAGCTCTCCCGGACAAGTGGTTTATCAAAAAGGCAATTTTAGATCTGTCAGTGGGATAGGAACGTGGATTCATCAGCAAATGGATGTCAATTTGGTTGAGGAAACCACGACACAATGCTGGGTCACCGCTGTAGCGCTGTGGCGGCGTCATGTGAACTACATGAGCGGGAACAGGTACTGGAGTGGGAATGGGTTCGGGCACAGCAGCAGCAGCCTCCTGAACGGCAGGTTGCAAGTGTGCAGTACGAGCCAGTATGGTTTGCAAAGCTTGAGCAAACTGATCCATACGGTGGTCCAAGCCATCCATTCTGGCCTCTTGATTAACTAGGAGCTGTGGTATGTCAGCAGGTTCCATTATGGCCCTGTTGTAATGTCACGATTCGGGGAACCCAACACGCTGGCACACACACACACAAAAGGTGCCGTACCGGACCTTAGAGTGGCCGGGCTAAGCACACACAGAATAGTCCGGAAACAAGCCGAGTAAGGGGAACCAGAAGACAGAATAACGTGAAACGAGCCGAGGTCAAAGGGTAGGAGAAAGTCACAGAGTCAGATAAACAAGCCAGAGAGTACGTAACCAGAAGCACAAGGTAAGTAGCAATACTAGAAAGCAAAGACCACAACAGGGCAGGGAGGAACAGGAAAGGTAAGTATTTAAACCATAAGGTTAATTCTGACTGGATAATTTCCAATCAGAATTAACAATCACACGTGGGAGATATCTAGACCTCCCACTGTGATTAAGGCACTGTGCCTTTAATGCCGAGTCAGGTGACTGACCCCGGCGTGTATAAACCTGGGCGGTCTCCCAGCGTGCAACGTCATGTATGCTGCCGCTGGGGGACGTGGAGGAAACGGCGGGCGGCATCCGAGGCTGGAAGGATGCCACTCGCCGGACCCACGAGGAGGAGGGGACCGCGGACGGCTGGAGGGTGAGTACCGCGAGCGGAGTGCAGCCTCCCCTCGCAGCCGCCCGTGGGATCCCGACAAACACTGCTGTTCGGAAGTTTAAAATGGCCGCCGCCACGTGTTCGTCTCCCAAACGGCGGCCACCCAGAGAACAAAGGACCCACTGCACGAACCGCCAATTATGTCTATGTATTCGGTTGAATGTTAACCTGTATATGTGAAGTGTATGTAGCATTCGACTGATTGTTCGGTAAAGTCACTCCAGTTCTTATGCAAATGAAACTACCGAACAATCAGACAACACTTATTACTGGGTTGGTCTGATTGTTCGGTAGTTTCATTTGCATAAGAACTGGAGTGATTTTACCGAACAATCAGTCGAATGCTACATACACTTCACATATACAGGTTAACATTCAACCGAATACATAGACATAAATGCACTTTTTAGGACAGCCCAATGCCATCCGCTACAGCGTTATCACAGACAAGTGCAGCCGCCTGTCCACAGCCAGCGTGGACAAGCTCACGTTTATTAATATGAACCAGGCATGGATCCTACCAGACTTGTACCTTGTGCAGAATAGACATTTATACCGGCCTCACCAAGTCATTGTTATACTCAAGTGGACTTATTCTTTGTTTTCTTTTTTATATGTCCCAATATTTTGGGGGCTACCCCAATTAAAAAACAAACAAACAAAAAAAAAAACCGTGTTGGTTACCTCCTCCGCATCAACCCCCGCTTCCACCTAAACCGCCACGGTCACTACCTCCTCAATCTCCTACTCCACATCCTCCTCCTAGTTCAAGATTATTATTTTTAATTTTTATGTATTTTATGTTATTTTAAGTTATTTACCTATCCACATTTATTTGCAGGGCACTTGTCCTACTCTTACCCCCATTGTACTTCCTTTTGCAGCCCTCTAGCCCTTTCCAGGACTTTTTTAGAGCCATTTTGGCGCCCAAAAGTTCAGGTCCCCATTAACTTCGAAGGGGTTCTGGTTCCAGGTCAAGTTCGAGTCCGAACTCGAACTTTTTGCCGAAGTTCGGCCGAACCCCGTGAACCCGAACATCCAGGTGTCCGCTCAACTCTACTGATGATGTCTAACAAGGTGAAAATGATTGTCTAAAAAACTACACAAATATGGGAGTTGACTGGACTGAGGGGTGATTCAAAACACACAGTTGACCAACATTTTTCTCTTTTCTGTTTGTTGTCAAATAGTAAAAAAAAAGAAATTGTAAATGTTTGGAATTCTGATTGCTATCTAGAGTGAATCATACCAAACAGAACTTCTGATCTTTCCTCCCTCAAGTGTTACTACTGCTGTGTCTGTCTCCCTCCAAGTCAACGGCGCTACCGTCACCTCAACCTCGAAGGATCACAGCCTGGTTCACAGTGTTCTTTTTGACTCCAACCTCTCCTTCACCCCTCATGTCCAATCAATCGCCAAATCCTGTTGCTTCCATCTCAAAAACGATTCCGCTCCTATTTAACCCCGGATGCGGCTAAGGTGCTGGTCCATGCTCATCTCTCTCACCTGGACTTCTGCAATACTCTTCTCAGTGGTCTTACATGTTCCCAGATTGCACTGTTGCAATCTATAATGAACGTGGCTGCAAGGCTCATTTTCCTGTCTGCTCGCACCTCCCCACTCTGTCAGTCCCTGCATTGGCTCCCAGTTAGATATAGGGCTCAATTTAAAATTCTGGTGCTTGCTTACAAATCCCTAGATAATGCTGCTCCAACCTACCTATCCTCCCTAATACACAAGTATGTCCCGTCGAGGCCCCTACGCTCTGCCAAAGACTTACATCTATCCTCTGTCCATACTCCCACCTCTAACGCTCGCCTCCAAGACTTTTCCAGGGCTGCACCTCTTCTGTGGAACTCCCTTCCCTCCTCCATAAGAATTTCACCCAGTCTCCACTCATTCAAAAAATCTTTGAAAACTCACTTCTTCAAGAAAGCATATCAATTAAACTGTTAGCAGGTTTTCATCCCCCACCCTCCATGACTCCTCTCCGGCAACTGTCAATAAATTACCTATTAAGCCCTCAGCGATTACTTTTCTAACATCTTACTTCATACCCCTACTTTTACCCTTTGTGTCACTATACCCCACTCCCTCTAGAATGTAAGCTCATTGAGCAGGGCCCTCCACCTCTGTTCCTGTACGTTGAGTTGTCTGGTTACAATTAAATGTGTTAGTCCACTCTTTGTACAGCGCTACAGAATCTGATGGCGCTATATAAATAATAAAATAATACCAACTTCCTTTGACCTTCTATATTGCACATCATTAACATATGTAACTTATGTACTTAGAATTTCCTGACATTCCAAATGAAATAGTATTTGAAATAAAAACCCATATTATGCAACAATTCTCAATAGATTCTAAATCACAATTACCAACCTGAGAGAATGCTATTTTTAAAGTTAGGAAAAGAAATAGTTCTAAAGGAATACCTGCACCCCCTATAAAAACTTAGTTGAAGTTAAATGAGCCTGACATTATCTAAATAAAAATATAATACACTATCCATTTTATATTTCATTTCAATCCTGGATGAATAAGATAATAGGGGCTCAAATACTAACTATTATAGAATTACTAGGACCTAAATATGCTGTCACATCTGCACTTCCAATAAACAAAACCATTAAAATGAAAAAATAAAAATAAAATAAATACAACTGTAACTCCTACTGTAAGGTTGCATATGAACCAGAAAATGATGAAAGCAGAAAGTACCAAACTAAAATGAGAGCTACCAAACCTATAAAAGGAATTCAAAAGTATACATGAACTATACATGAACTATAATAAAACTTTGTCCTAACTGAAAATAAATATATCACCCTCATAAGCTCAGTGTGCTATAAACCCTAACTTCCTCCATCAGACAAACAGAGCAGTGCAGTTATGTAATCACAAGTAGTTTTGATGATGAGTAGACATGTGCAATTAGTTTCAGTCCGAATTTAAATTCGTCGTATTTCGGCAATTCGGGTGCTTATTTTAATAGGTACCTGTCCATGGGGGCAAGAGGGACCTTTGCCAGGTCCATCTTTTTTAGATTGGCTGCTCACTGTTTAGTATAGACTTAATTCCATACGAAAAGAATGTATACAGTTTGTCCATTCATGTTCAGATGAAATTCTGTGATTATTTGCAGCCGTTTAATAGATAGCCCCCTAATTCCCACGAGTATTAGAGTAGAACTTAACGTGTGAATTTCCCTTCCCGATTCCAAAGAGTGTTATCAAATCTGCTTTTGTTGTTTACCAAATCGTGAATTGTCCTGTTTTACCAGAGAATTGCATGTTTTAGGTCAAAACAGGTGAATAGGAAAAATCAGTCAATATGACCACTGTGATGGCAATTACGAAAATATTGAGCAACAAATTAGAGAGACCCTCAGTGTCCTTGGCAGCTATTTTGAACTTAAATTTGCAATTGCCTGGTGAATTCTTGACAATTCATGATTTGGGTAATTACCCTGATAATCTTCTAGTTGAATTAAGTGATGATCTTCAGGATGGGAGGTGTCTGGGCTTTTACGAACTGAGAATTCATGTTTTGCAAGTGTTGTTTTGAACTGTGTTTGACTTTGATAGGCAAATTTAAGCTACTGTATATTTAGTTGACGGATGTCTCTAGCTAATGGCTGTAAAACTTTATGATAATCAAACAGTAGTAAAAGTACAACAAAAGTAGAATTTAGTGCCTGCGTGCACGTAGCAACAGAAAGAAATAGGGCAGACACTACAAAACACAAGGCTATAACTGTGTATGTAAATTACAGGTGCTACAGTACACACAATACCACAGTGTTAAGTGGGAAAATGTATGCTTATTAATAGTTACATTGTACTAATTAACTCATTTATTTTTCATTCATACTTAATTTTATTTCAGACTTTTCATTTACGATGCTGCCAGTTTGGAGTCTGGATGAAATTTTTTCCCAATTTGTGGCAAAAATAAAAATCACTTCTACCTTTTACCTTCTTAGGATCAACAATAGTGATACAGATATCACTACTTTACCTTGATTTAAGAAGCAGTCAATTATTTTTAATATTATATGTATGGTTATTTTAAACCATATTGCATTCACAATGGTACTCAGGATGCATTTTACACATTATGTGCAACTAACAAATAATAACTTAAAATAGATTCTGGTATCAGTCCTGACGGTAATATGTCTCATATGTATCAGGTCTAAATTAATTTTTGGTAATGCTAACCCTACACAAGCCCTAACCCTACCTCTTACCCTATGCTTACACTAAGTCTATTCATACAACTCCGACAGCCCTAGCCATACACTATCTCTAACTCTATTCCAGCATTGGTCCTTACCCTACTCAAAAACAATAAGGATGTCAATCGGCCAAATGATGCCTGCCTTATGTGACACATATGCAATGCACAGTTGTGGCTCATCTACAGGAACACTTATGGCAGCACTCCACCCAGGCCTGGTACTACTATAAGGCAAACAGGTGGCCGCTATAGGGTACAACAACCAGTAGGTACAATGGCTAGGTGACAGTAGTAGAGGGTGCAAAAAGCATCTCCCTGTCAGCCACTTTGTGTGTGTGGCCTTGTGGACCAAGGTAGATGATCTTTACCCTTCACCTGGTCTGACAGGAAGCTGCTCACTGCTCATTTTCCCACCCCCTTCCAGGAATTCTGTGCTTCTTCCTGTCAGTCCGGGAGAAGGACAAAAGAAAATCCTCTGTTTAGGCCCACGTAGCCATGCTATAACGGGGTAAGAATGACAAATGGGGTGGGAATAAGAGGCACAAAAAAATGGGGGAAAAGGTAGAAACACAAAACGTGGTTGAAGAGGAAGAACAAAAAAGGGGGTAAGATACACAGAAGAGGGAAATAAGAGACACAAGAATGAGGGGAGTAAAATGTGGATAAGATGCACAGAACTGGGGGAATAAATAACACAGAATGGCAGAGAAAAAGGTGGATATAGAAAAAAGAAGTAAAATACACAAAAGGAAGACATTCATTGGTGTAAGTAAGAGACAAAATAGGAGGTTAGTGACAAATGGAGCAAACCACAAAAGGGGTGTTAGAAATGCAAAAGAGAAGATAAGAAGGACAACAGGAGGATATGATGCACACAGGGGGAAAGAGATGGGTATGAGGAGCAAAAGGGAAGGATAAGAGACACACAGTGGTTTAAGAGACATGCAAGGGGGTAAGATTTTTGCCATAATTATAGAAAAATCTATTCCCAGTGTTAAAATAAAAAACACTGACATTGTTTCCCTTTGGTAAAGGTTTAACTAGCAAACTTTTATAGGTAGTAGTAAACATACACCATATAGTACTACAGTGCTAAAAATAGCCC